AGATGGTGCATCAGCAATGGCTGGAAAACATTTAGGACTTATAGGCTTATTAAAAAGTGACCCTAAGTATCCAGAATTTATCCCAATTCATTGTGTTTTTCATCAAGAACATTTAGCTGCAAAACATTTTAACTTTCCAATTATTTTAAAACTATTTTAAAAGTTGTAAATTATATTCGAGCAAATGCAAAAAATTACAGACAGTTTAGAAACTTTATAAATGAATTGGATCTTGCTGACGAGCCAAATGACGTGTCATTTTTCTGTTCTGTAAGATGGCTTTCAAGTAGTGACGTTTTTTATAGATTTGTAAAACTATTAGAGCCAATTAAATGTTTTTTGATTGAAAAAGAAAAGACATTTGAAATCCTAGACGACATAAATTTTGTGCAAGATCTTTTATTTTTGAATGATATAATGCAACATTTAAAAAGTCTGAATTTGTTTCTTCAGGGAAAAGAAAAAAATATATCTGATCTTGCACAAACGATATTTAGTTTTCAAAAAAAAATTATTCTTTTTCAGAAAGATCTTAGCTTGAAAAAATTTAATCATTTTCCTCAAATAAAGATGATTACTTCTAATCCTTCAATTCAGTATGATGACGATAAGATTGAATCATACTTGGACAAACTAAAGGATTTACAAAAAGACTTTCAAAAAAGGTTTAAAGATTTGCATGAACTAAAATCTTCTTTAGGATTTATAGTAAATCCTTTTTTAATTATTATTATTAGTAATGGCTGTCCAAAACCTGAAAAAATGCTTGAAGATATATCTCAATTTGAAATGGAACTACTAGATCTCCAAGAAGATCAAAATCTACTTATGCTGCATAAAACAATAACTTTTATGGAATTTTGGAAGATAGTTCCCGAGGTTAAGTATCCTCAACTTAAAAAGATTGCCATAAAATTCATTTCAATTTTTGGTTCAACGTATACATGTGAATCTTTATTCTCTACTATGAAATTTGTCAAACCAAAGTATCGTGCAAATCTAACCAACGAGCATTTGTCTGAGTTACTTAGAACAGCCACTACAAGTTTGAAACCAGATTTTAAGAAACTTACCAGTAAAGTTATGAGTATTAGTTTGATCAAAGTAAAAAATTGATAAAATGATGAAAAAGTTATTTCTTGATTGTAATATTCAAGTAAAATAATCTAATTTTAGTGTTGGTTTTTTAATTATTATTTCATTGATATAAGCATTGTTATAATTTTGTTAATCAAAAAAAAGTTTATGATCAGCATGTGCTTGTGCAAAAATCTATCATAAAAAAGATCAGTGTGTTGCACAGCACCTAATCGTGTGCTGTGCAAAATCAGTGTGATCACGTGATTGTCGAAAACTATAGAAATGATTTTTTAGTCTGAAGGGAATTTTATAAAATAAATCAGATATAATGGCATTGTAAACAAAATCTTTGAAGGAATAAATTTTTCTTTAAAAAATTTATTGAGTGTTTTAAAACAATTAACTAAATTCAATTGTATACATATTTTACTTAAATCTTTAAAAAATGATTTTTTGTATCCAAGAAATATCTAAATTTCATATTAAAATGATATTGTTAAATTATAATACAACAATTATTTCTACCCCTTAGGAGCATATGGAATTTCCTAAATAATTTGTATTTTCTAAAAAATTTTCTTTAAAAAATGATTTTAAATAGTGAATTACAAATTGTTGTTTTTATATGAAACCAAGAAAATGGGCTAGTACTAGAAATTTCTTATTTTTTGGGTAGTTTTTTTACTTATCTAGTACAAAAGTCTCTTAAAGTTCAGATTATCAAAAGAAAGAGTATAAAAGTTTCTTATATAAAAAAACTAACATGAAGTTGTTGCGGCTCTTCGGCTCACGTAAGTATATAAATGCGGCTCTTATAACAAAACGTCTGGCCAGCGCTGGTTTATAATAGTGTTAAGTAAACATTTGTTTAAAGTAAACATGTATGACTTCTTACATGTTTATTGTAAAAAATCATTTAAAGATTTTTTAAATAATAGTACAATTATTATATAAATAAATACATCTATAGATATACTTACTATATAAAATATCTCTTGATCTTTTATTTTTCATAACAAAAATTTTTTGATTAATTAGTGCATATTAGCAATTAATTACAAAAAAAAAATTAATATCATATAAAATACCACAATTTTAAAACAAAATTTAGTCAGCCGCAACAGTAATTTTTGAATTGATGGGTTAATTTTTACTTTAATGCTCTTTGCTTTTTTGATTCTTTGCTTTTTGATGTTCTTTGGATTAACCGTGTTAGATGGCAAGATATAACAAATGTTAACAACCCTTATGGAGAAAGAATATTTATGGACACTTTGTTTTAGTTTGTGTAATTTGAATTTGTGTAAATATTTTTGTATATGATAAAGAAACTTGATAGGCAAAACTATGACAAAACTAGGCAAACTTAATCAGCATATATTAGTAAACAACAAGTTATCACTTGTACTGGAACCAGTATTTTTTTTCCGGGTACCCTGATTTGTGGACTTGGCATAAACTGGTTTTGGCACATCTCTAGTCACATATTATTCATATTGGATATTTTGTGTTTGTGTGTTACATAAATAAATTTTTAAAATTTGTATTCAATTATTTATTCTTCATATAAATGTATAAGTTTAAATACTACAAAGAAAGGGTTTCATTAACCTTAAATTTACACAAATCTTTTTTGTTTTATAATATATTTTTCTACTTAAAAATTAGATGGCTGCTTCATATACAACAATTCGAAGAAAAGTGAGAAAGCAAGTAGAAAGAGATATGAAAGAAATTTATGTTGAATGTCGCGATCAGCAAAATAATGTTGCAACGTGTAATGTTTCTAATGACTTTGGAAGTCTTTGTTATGATGACAGCATATATGAGGATAATAATGACATTGCAAAGATAAAATTGCTTTTCATGAAAATAATAATGAGTATGACTATGATCTGAATGAAAATTCTTATTTTAGTTCAGACTCAGAAAATAATATTAATATTGTTAGCAACCATGACAAAAAAGACACAGACATTTATTTTTTGGCTGAGTGGGCTGTTAATTTTAAAGTGTCTTTGGTTGCTATCGGTGCCCTTCTTTTGTTGCTTAGACAATACTTTCCATCCCTGCCAAAAGATCCAAGAACATTACTAAACACCCCTAGAAAACATGTGATTAAGAAACTGACTTGTGGAGGGGAGTACAGTCATATAGGCCTGGAAAAAGGAATTCGACAAGTTTTGCAAAGCTGTGTACTTTCTGATACAAATTGTCTTGAATTTCAATTTAATACAGATGGATTACCTCTTTTTATAAGTAGTAAAACAAGTTTATGGCCCATACTTGGTATGCTTAAAAACAATGTTATTAAAACAGTGTTATCGGTATTTTTTGTGGCCAACGAAAAGCATCAAGTGCTAAATAGTTTTTTGATAATTTTGTTAAGGAGACTTTGTCACTGCTTCATAATGGATAATTAACTAATGGAAAACGTTTTACAATAAAAACTCATTCTTTTGTTTGTGATGTTCCTGCAAGGGCTTTTCTCGAAGGTATTAATTACCATTCAGGTTACAATTCTTGTGAAAAATGTGTTTAAGTGGGTCATTATTTTGGTAATGATTTTCCCTCAACTAAATGCTTGCTTAAGAACTGATATTACATATAATCAAATGTCTGAAGAAGACTATAATAAAAGTCCTTATGCATAAAAGCCACCTAATATTGTTAGTGTAACGCAGTTTGGACTTGACTTCATACATTTAGGCTGTCTTGGAGTTATGCGAAGATCTTATTATATTGGAAAAGGCCTGCTAAATGTTCGAATTAGTTTAAAAAACGTTTCTAAATTATCTGACAGGTTGTTGAGTTATGTTGCATATATTCCATATGAGTTTACAAGAAAAACCAAGAGCTTTAAGTGAATTAATGCAATGAAAAGCAACTGAATTTAGATTATTTTGTTGTATTTAGGTCCATTCGCACTAGATAGAGTTCTACCAACAAAATTGCTTGATCATTTTTTATTGTTGTATGTTGCATCTAGAATTAATACCAGCTCTGAGCTATAAAAAAAACTGACACAAATTTTGAAAACAATTTATTAATTGATTTTGTCAGTTATGCTGCTAACCTTTATGGACAGGAGTGTTTAGTGTATAATGTGCATTCATTAGTTCATATAGCACAAGATGTAAAATATTTAGGACCATTAGATGAATTTAATAGTTTTCCATACTAAAACACGCTTAATCAGCTAAAAAAAACTCATTCGAAAACCTTAAACCCCCATCCAACAATAAACGTCTGATAAATTTTAATGCACTATATTTGGTGCATTGAAAAGTTATCAGATAACAGATATTGTTAGTAAATGCATGTGTTTACCCAACTCAGAAGATTCCTGCATAGTTATTCCTATATTTCTATAATTATAAATGTATGTTTTTTTAGGTTATTTCATACTTAAATAATTATTTATTAAACGAAGCTTTTATTTAAATTGTTTTTTCTTTTAATAATATTCAGAGAATAACTTGTTTTGTAATATGTTTAACAGCTATTAAAGAGAAAGAAAGAAAAACCAAAGAATATGTGGAAGTGTATTAACTATTTTTACTTTCTACATAAAGGATTTATTAATGGAAAACAAAATCATAAGTAACAAAATTGTAAGCACTATGAAAAGTGAAAACCAAAGCAGATTTCTAAACAGCTGTTAATAAATCAAAACTAAAACGTTTATGATGATATATAATAAAAACCCCAGAAAACTATATCAAATAAAAAGCACTAAATAAAATAAAAAATAAATAACCAAAGAAATAAAACAATAAATATAAATAAAAATAGGTTCAAAAAAGATATAATATATAATATTTAAATATTGAAAGTAATTTTTTTTTAATTTCTTTATGCGTTTTTAGTTTATATAATTGTGAATTAATCATTATAAAGTATACATTAAAAAGTCTTACCTTTTACAAGTTTCACAGCAACATTTAAAATATTTTCCTTGATATCAAAGTTTTTTCTGAATTTCTGTTTCGCATTCAGTTTTGAAAGAATTAAAGAACTGAGTTTTGCAATAAAAACAGTACCAAAAGCACCTTCCCCAATTTTTCGATCCAAAATAATATCTTTAGGAAGTATCTCCCATTCATCTGGTAAAGCTTTATCGCATTCATCGTAGTTCCTAAAAACAAGAAACAAGTATATAAAAACACAAGGAAAAAGTTCTTTCTTCCTTAAAGATTAAAACCTACTATTTGGTTGAGTAAATACTAAAAAAATTTACAATTAAAAAAATTAATTTAAAAAAAACTTTTATTATTGCAACTTTATACTTTTATTTTTAAATAACTTTTTTTATTGAAGTAGCATGGGTTGCATAAGCGTGGTGCTCCTTCATTAGCACCACGCCCACCAAAAATTTTAACTACACTAACAGGCTAGAAGCCATCAAGGTCTGGTGAACTCGAATTAACACCTAATCTTTCTAAATTACTTGATTAAAACATCTAAAATATTGCGCCTAGGTGAAGACGCAGAAGTGTATTATTAGTGAGATAATGTCTAGTCATAGATGTTTTTATAGTAAAAGTTTATTTAAATCTCTCTTGCCTGTATTAGTGAGAATCCTAATTGTACTTCTATGGCCTATTTGAAAAAACAGTTGTAGTTAATACTATTTTGTCATAATTAGTGTATATATATATAAAAATATATACATATATATATATAAAATATATATATATAAAATATATATATATATATATATATATATATATATATATATATATATATATATATATATATATATATATATATATATATATATATATATATATATATATATATATATATATATATATATATATATATGTATATATATATATATATATATATATATATATTGTATATATATATATAGTATATATATACATATATATATATATATGTATATATATATATATATATATATTTATATATATATATATATATATATATATATATATATATATATATATATATATATATATATATATATATATATATATATATATATATATATATATATATATGTATATATATATATATATATATATATATATATATATATATATATATATGTATATATATATATATATATATATATATATATTTCACGGTGATTTTGCATTTCATATATATATGTATTATTATTATTATATATATATATATATATATATATATATATATATATATATATATATATAAACATATATATATATATATATATATATATATATATATAAATATATATATATATATATATATATATATATATATATGTATGTATATATATATATATATATATATATATATATATATATATATATATATATATATATATATATATATATATATATATATATATATATATATATATATATATATGTACATATATATATCGCCATGTTATGTGGTATAATTTCTAATACACCACATATATAAGAATTTTATTAACATAAGCAAAATTTAGCAAGATCATATATATTATCCATATTTACGTTTTTTTTACTTATTTTAAATCATAAACTTATTTATAGTACATTACTAAATAAATTTTTTTATATACTAAATAAAAAGTATTACTAAATACAAAGTAGCTAGTAGATCAAAAAGTATTTTTTTTTCATTAATATTTAGGATCTATCAGCAGCTAAACAACCATTTCTAAGAAATGTCTAAAAAAATAGAATGCTTCTAATGAAAACAAGTATAACAAACAGAGGAAACTATAGTAATTTTGAGTTAATCCAGGATAATTACTATAAACTTTCAGAAAAATGTTAAACGTCCATAGCTTTATTTGTACCTCCTGTAAGTAGTATAAAAACATTTTAAAGGAGTAAGATTTAAAAACGCCAGGAACGAAGCTAGTAGAAAGACAAAGAAAGAAAACTTTCAAAGTATATTACATTTTTTAAGTTTTTCTGCTTCCAAAAGCCTTAGGATAGGGAAAAGAGGGTGTGCTCATCAGTGAAAAAATTTACAAATTTTTTCACTGATGAGTACACCCTCTTTTCCCTTTCTTAAGGCTTTTGGAAACAGAGTGTCTCTATTTTCCTAGAAACTGAAACTTTTTTTTTGCGTGTGTGTTTAACTACCACTTCTTAACTTATATTATTAAATCTTACCATAATATTTAGTTATGCATAGGTTTCCAAAAAACCGCATTTATAAAAAACTGCGGTTTCGGTTTTAATTAAGAAAAAAACCGCGGGTAATGGTGGTTTTCGGTTTTTCTTGTTATATAATAAAACTAATGTAAGTTTATTTTTCATTGTTTATTTAAAAAAAATTTTAAACAAAGTATTTAAACATTATTTTTATATTTCGGAATAAAACTTATAATTATTTTTACTATAAAAAATTTCAGCTCGAAAAAATGCGTTTGATATTTGTTGATGTGGGTTTTATAGAGAGAACGGCATTGTAAATTTTACTCAAGATTTTGTGTTCCTTTTTCCATATTTCAGTACAACTCTTGCTTAAGCCATTTGTACTTATCAGTAGATTTGGGGAAATGTGTGATGCTATCTTTTATGAAAAGTACGTTTAATTCATCCTAAAGTGAAACAGGTGAACCAATGTTGTAATTAATGCTTTAGCTAGTAGTTGTTCAATGTTTTAATGTTGTAATTGATGAAACAATGAAAAAATGTAACAACAATATTTCAATTTTGTAATTGGTGCTTCTGCTAATAGTGGTTCCTCATCATTAGAAGTAAATCCAAAAAGCCAAAACGCAAGTTTTCTAGCAAAGTTTAATATATTTTTTAACGGAACAACTGAAGGATCTTTTAGACACTTTGACAACGGTACAAAATTTCCGTTAATTCCCTCATAAACGTGGTTTTTTAAATTTAAAAGCAAAAAAAATGTGATCTCTGTATTCATAGCTAATAACTAGTCAACGTTATTTACAGCAGTGTCTGCTGTCAATAAAGTTGCATCTTCTCTGCTATGAAATTCAGCAGCCGTGGCGCAGTGGTAGCGCACTTGCCTCAGAAACGTAAGACCCGTGGTTCAAACCCACCTCTGGGCAAGTTTTGCGACATCGGTTAGAAAGGAGGCGTGAACTTCCTATTAAATGCTCTTCCGCGGTGCTCTGTGATAAGACCGTAAGGACTTCTTGGGGCACCTAAATCAACATAAAAAAAAAAAAAAAAAAAAATTCCACTGCTAGTTTTGCTGGCTCTAAAGCGGCATGAATGAGACTAATATATCAAAATCTAGCTTGTTGATTACATCAAGAACAATCTAGATTGTTGCTTGCAAAAGCTAGATTGTTAATGTCCGGAATTAATATTTCTTTTTTTTAACAAAGGCGCAGCCATGAAAAAAGTGAATTTCAACAATGACAAATATCCATGTGCAGTTCGATTTCTTTATCAAATTCCTTAGTAACTTTTTTCTGAAAAAATTGATTAGAAACTGATGACATTTTTATGAACTTTATTACTTTTTGTGCATTTGTCAAAATTTCAGGATAGTCAATATTATTCTAATTGTTTACTGATTCAAAACTAAAATTAATATTGTAAATTCCATGTTTACTCTCTTCTGAATCACTGTCTGTTTAGGGAATAGGTACGTTTGTGTCTTTTTTTTTCTTTTATAAGGTAATGCAAATACTGAGATGAATTCCATGATTAAAGCAAAACTGATCAACAATGTCCGTTAATTGCATGAGCTTTTTGTTGATTGCTACACCATCTTGAGTTGAACCGACTACATCTCTTTCTATACAGACACCAAATGAATTTAAATGATAATTAATATTTGGAATTAAACTTTCAGCTGGACAAGAACTATAAATCTTAATGAGACTAGTATTTTAGATTTTCTTACATTTGCTTTTATGCAGGTAGACACTTTACCTTCTGCGTACCTGAATGTAGCTGAATTTATGTCGCATTTGAATTTTTTCGAAAATTTTTTTTCATCACTTTTTTTTTATCAGAAAAATCTTTATGGATTAAATTTATCACAGTATTTAGGTTTTTAGGAAAATGATTTCCTCAGTTAAATTGATTAGCGAATAAACTTGTTATTAGTTATCGCATTAATTGTAACACCATCTGTAGCTAGATCAGCTGCAATTTCTCTAAAGCTTGTTTTTTGTAAACAACTGTTCATGGTTTTAATTTTTTTTCCAGTCGTAGATTTAAGCTGATGCTTGATTCTCCTTTCAAAGGACTATCTATAGTAATTCCATGACTCAAAATGTGATTCCAGAAAGTATTTTCGAAAGTATTTTCGAAGCATGTTACAACAGAACCGTATCTATTACAGATATCTCCAGCATCTCTTGAATTTGGAATTTTACGTCAAGTAGTAAATATACAAACTGATAACATATTTTCATACAGCTATTCACGAAAGTTTAAACGAAGGTGTAACTTTAAGAACAAATCTTTGGTTTTTCTTTAATAAAAATGTAACGGAAATAGATATCAAAATAATTTTTCCCCATTCGGTAACTAGGTTTTCTGATCAAAAATAAATTAAAAAAGTAGGTTTCGACTCATAAGTGATCTCTTGGGAATTTGATTAACAGATAGATGTGAGAAATTAATTGGTGTCATAAAAGTATAAACGATAAAATTCAATTATATATTAAGTAATTACTTAATCCGTTGCGAGAATTGTTTTAAAACATAAACATAAGTAGATTGAGTGGTTTTCAGTCAATAAAAATTGTCACAACATTATTCAACAGCTTTATATTCAACGAAAATCAACTGAAATCATTGCAAATTTAAAACAATTTTAAATTGCGTGCAAATGGGGAGAAAACCAGTTTCAAGTGAGATCAAATGGCAAATTATTGATATGTCTAAGTCAAAAATTCACAGCAACGTTCAAATAGGCAAAAAAACTTGGGGTTTCTGAATCTTGCGTACAAAAAACAGTCAAAACCTGGAAACTTACCAAGGACGTCATTGATGGTCTCCCGCGTTCCGGGAGACCATCGAAGTTTAGTGACCGTGAAAAAAGTAGCATATTCAGAAGCTGCAGAGAGAATCCTAGGCACAGCTACAAAAAGCTAGCACAAATCTTCAACAAGTCGAAAAATAAACATAATATAAGCAGAGAGCTCGTTAGGCGAACATTGCTGCAAAAGGTATTGGAACGTACATTGCA